AAAAGCACAAAAATATTAATAATACTTCACGTAAAATACAATTTTTTTTAAAAAAGAAAAATGAAAATATAATAAACAATAAACGAGAATAGGAAAATAGATTTGGAATTTAAAATTAAAATCAGAATATAAAGGAGATTTTAATAGAATAATGTCTCTCCATTTAAAAAAAAAAAAAAAAAAAAAAAAAAAAAATGGAATAAACTTGTGTTAAAAATGGAATAAAATTTTTCCCCTTCAAAATGATGAAATCTTTGTGAAACGAATTTATATTAAATCTTTCGTAAAATGAAGTAAGAATGAAATTTCTTGTATAAAAATAAGTAATACGCAAGGTAAGTTGAATGCGCTCTTGAAATTGCGATTTTCTTTCATTTCGCAATAGGAACGCTTTTAAGCAACCCCTAAGTTTTCTAAAGGGGTGAATCCATTTGGAATTGTACACTCTTTCTCGTGTATATAATGAAGGGAAACTTTGCTGTATATATACATATATATATAGAAGTAGAAAAACGCCTTATTACCTTGTTTCTTTTCATTGGCCTTCATTTTCTCTTTCACGAGTAAACACTCTTTTTTTTTCTATTCAGCACGTAGTTGAAAATAATAGTGCATTTATTGCATTCGTTGTGAAGAGGGAAAACAAGTCGTGACGTTAAAGGGCTAAAACTTGGCAGAAAAGGGTAACCCTCCTGGTTGTGTGCATTGAAGTTGACAAAGGATGTGCAACAATAGCAGTCATACGACGTGCAATGAATTTAGTATGATTAGTAGCTTGAGAATCAAGTTGACGTAACGACCAGCTTCGCATGGGAAATTTCCTAGCTAGAGAGCAAACGAGATAACTGATGGCGTTATAAAAAGTTACAAAAAATTAAAAGTAACATTTTTTTTTTTTTCTAATTCATATATTTAATCTATGTTTAAATTTTTAATCATATCTAAACATTAGTGATTGAAAAACTATATGAAAAATCTAATATTTTTCTTTATGGTTTTGCTTCAAATATTTCCTTTTTGTTGTTTTAAATACTTTTTGATTATCGTTACATTTGAATATAGACAGTGAAGAAAAATGAAAAACGATCTAGTGATATGCGCGCCATCTATCATCGACTGAAATGGCGCGAAATCAATTTAAATTCAAATTTTTCAAGCAAAAATTAAAATGACTAAATATTTGTTATTTGTATAAATAAGTAATTTGAATAGCGATAGAAATTAATTATTGAAATTAAATTTGAAAAAATAATTTCAAGGGAAAAAAAAGAAATGAATAGTAGAGAAAATAAAGAACGAAATATTAGAAAAAATATGAAAATTCAGTAAAGACAAGAGATGAAAATTTTGAGAATATAATCACACGCAAAAACACTGAGAGACCGAATTGGATTAATTTTTAATCTGGATTTCACCCTGAAAGTAACGTTAAACCAACTAATGCGTTTAAAACTTTAATTTCTCGACTTAGCTCAACTATCGCGGGAAAAATTTCATGTTGTGATATAATGCTTTTATATTTACTTGCAAACAATATGTGATACTTAAAAAAAAAAAAATTTTTTTAACTTTCTTTTATATTTATACATTTTTTTAGAAGATATATTTATAAATTTTATATCCAATCAATAATAATTTACGGACAAAATTTATAGTGACTATAAAAAATGAATAAAAAAAAAAAAAAATATGGACATATCTTTCAAGAATCTTGTCTTTTGAATGTCTGAGGATTACAGAGGTAATATTACTTCAACTTATTTGTAAGTTGAAAGGCAATTAAAAGAAGGAATGAAGAGGCAAACTTTGTCCATTAAATTTTTGCAATTATTTGCTTTTCGCAGAGATTCATAACTTTGTTTTGAAATTTACGACAGAAAATTTATAAATTTTGCGAACTTGTAAAAGTAAAGTATATAGTTTTAAAAATAAATGTATTTTAATTTTTATGATTTTATTTAATATTCAAAAAAGGAGATTTAAATAAAAATATTTAAAGATTGTTGACCCGCGTTTCTTTCCTGCAAAGTTGAACTGTAATACGATCCTACTAGTAATTTAACGCTCTGAGCCTTATGAAAAGCCATGAGGAAAGCAGTTTTCTTTTTTTTTTTTAAGAAAACAGTTTGTAATATTATATTTTCAATGTGGAATTGAATTTATAATCCACTTTTAAAAAAAAAAAAATGTTGAATGTTTATTTACTCCATCGAATTTTTATTTCTATTTCTAGAAAATAAAATTTATTTTCACTTATTTAATAATAAACTCCACTTGAAGAATAAATGTATATATATTAATGATTGGAAATTGAATTAACATTAAATCAATAAACATAGAAAATGTTTTTAAAATAAAATGAGTGGTTTTTGTATCGAATTCGTTTTTTTTTTCTCTTTTTTTTATTGCAGGATTGGCAGAAAAAAATGCAGGCAATTAATGCATACCAATCAAAATGTAAATGAGTATTAATCGAAATGAAGCGTCGGGTAATCGCTCCTTTTTTTCCCCCGGATATATATATATATATATATATATATATAACCTACTGTGATTCGATGCCTTGTACACGGACATAGTCATTTTCAGTTGTTGCTGCCGTTGCGCCAATGTCGTTGCTTGCCACTGATGCTGTACAAGCGCACTATAATTTACCACAGGTACAATTAGTTTGTGTATGATGCAGAAACCTGTAAACTATGAATTTGTATCTGTGATGAGGCATCGATAATATATACGCCAGCAAATCATAAGGATCAAAGCTATACTAACATTTTCCTTACATCACACATCACGTGTTCATATTTAACCGGAATATTAATCATTACCTTTCAAAAAATTTATTTTATTTAATTAAATTTATTTAATAATACCAATAAATAAATAGATGACGTAAGGTCACTGATAAATATTTAAAATATTTGGCATAATTTTGAAAAATTTTAAGATGATTAAATATTAGAATTTTAAATCATCCGCCCTATATTTAGACAAAGTGCCGCTAGGCTGCGCAGTATAAAGACAATTTCATTGTAAATTCTTGGACAAAATACACCTAAAAGTGTAGAAAAAAACTGACACCCCGATCTGAGTAGAGGAAGACACTTTTTACCACCAAAAAGTCAACCATAACCTGAAAAAAGTGCTCAAAAAAAAATTCAAATTTTTCTTAGGCAGACGATTTTATTGCAAATTCTTGCACAAAATACACCTGAAAATGTAGAAAAAAATGGACACCTTTTGATCGTGAGTTTGTCTATTGTTAAGTTAACCTCAAAAAAAAAATTGAGATGCTGTCTAATTTTATTTTTTAAAGGAATAACTGTTATTTATTATCAGTATAAGTAAAAAAATTTATTAAATAATTTTGTTTTATTTTTTAGTTAGTGTAATTTTTTCATAATTTTTATTTTATTTTTTAAAGTATATTAATAAAACTTTTATAGTCGTGACAAAAAAAAAAAAAAAAAAACGTGTCTTATTATCGAATTTCTGACAATGAAGCTCGCAAAAGGTAGCTTTTGCCTGAAAGAGAGATAGTGTGAAGAAAAGAGACATCTTAATCAAGAGAGGCGGCTAAATCGCACGCGCGAAATTCACTCTTCGTGGTTTTCTTCTAATTTCTCAAACTTGATTAAAACTTGTTCGCCATGAAAATGAAGTTTGTCCGCCGCACCCCGGTTAGAGTTTCATTTTCTCTTACCAAGTTTTCTATGACCTCCTCCAAAAAACCACGTGCGGAAAATGTATTTAAGATGCCATTAATTTTAAGACACAATCCAAATATTACTTCATAATTTTTTTTTACATTTTTTTTTTAAATACTTTTAAATATGTTCAAACTAAATACATTAAAAAAAAAATTTGGTAATGCAAACCAAACAAATAAAATAAATAAAAACCAAACTTTTGATTAAGTAAAATGTAATAAAAGAAATATATTTTCAAAAAAATGAGAACAATTTTACCAATGTCCATTTTAGTTATTAAAGAAAGATTATTTTTTAATTATTGTAATGTTCTTGATAACGGAAAGTAATTTAATTTAATTATCCGAGGCATTGAAATTTTGCGGTCTCAAAAACCCATTATTGTAATTAACAATAGTCTAAAATCAATATTCTATTAAAATTCTATTATATAGTATTAGTTAAAAAAAAAAAAAAAAAAGAAATACGAAAATATGAACATAAATGTGTGAACATTTTTATACACTGTTAATAATTACTAAATAATAAGTATTATATCGCTTTATACTATTTTTAAATTTAATAATGGATAATACAAATAAAATTAGTTATTGTATAATTAATTAGTAGCTATTAATTACTTTACATACTGACAATATATTGAACTAAATTTGTCTCTTTTGAATAATTATATCCTTTCAAAGCATTTACGCGCTTAATTGTAGCAAGTGTAATTAAGAAAATTAACTTTCAATTATAATGACGTGTTAATATTTATTCATTGGAAAATGATGCTTTGAAATACATTAAAAACATATTATTATTATCACAAAAAATAGATATTGTATTATACCCAAATATTGCAATTATATTAATAAATTTAACGTATTACAATTGGTTATATTTACTAATTGCATCGTTATTTACATTTAAAATATATTTTTTTATTATATATTTTTTAAAAATAGATTTTATATTACTCGGAAAAATTATTTTAATTAAAAATAAACTAATTTCATATTACTAATTAATTAACTACTGGAATCTGTAATTTTGTTTTATTTTTTTTTTTTTGACTATTTTTACCCCAACTAATTAAAAATAAAGAATTTAATTATTTTGTTATGAGGAATTAGATTTTAATTTCAATTTTAAAAATTGTTTCAAGATATAGCAGAGTTGGAATTTATTAGATTTATATTTTTTTGAAATAAAATAGAAAAGGATTTATTACTGTAGCTAAAACTATAGAAAACACCAAACGATATGAATTTAATTTTTTTTTTTTTTTTTTATTTCGAAACCAAGAGTTCATTTTTGAAGGAAAATATCCCAAAAAAATTTGTTTTTTCTTTTAGTTTTGGTAAAAGAAATTATTTACGTATAATTACAGTAAAATATTATTAGTCATCATCTTGTGGACATGATCGCATCCATCCTTTGGAATTCATATAATTGAGACTAACTTCCGGATCGAAATCCCTATTATTAAAAAATGCTTTCATAAATAATTACAAGAAAATGTTGAAATTAATTTTAACATTAATTTATTTTATTCATTTAACATAATTGAATATAATTTATTCAATATCTAATTAATTATTTAATTATTCGTTTCCTGTTAATTATTCTTTAATTAGATATTTTTCATTTTTTTTTTAAATATTTAATAATTAAAAAATTAATCTATAATTAATCTTTCAATAATCTTTAATTAATTATTCAAATTACCGATACTATCTTTATTAAAATAATTTAAAAATTTATTAAGTAAATTATTATTTTAATAATATATTGAGAATCGTTTTAATTTAAAAATTAAAATTTTTCTTTCTTACTTGTAGTAATCAATATAAATTCTTTGTCTTGGTTTTATAAAGTATTCAACGCATAATGCACCAGTTAAAAGTACCACTCCTGCCCCTATTAATAATTGTTTTTTCACATATCGTATATGTAGACCTCTCATTAATGGCTTTTCGTACATTTTTTTGTTTCTTCAAATTTCTGACGTTTTATTGAATATTTAATTTATCGATCTGTCACCACTAATCCAAATTTATCAAACTCTTTGAAGTAAGTTACAAAACTTTTCGCATTTCTTTCGTTTTTTTTTTTTTTTTTTTTTTTGTTAGCTTCAATTTGTAATTTGAAAAAAGGATATTTTTTACATTTGATTGTATAATATTTATAATCTTTATTTAACTTAATTATTTCATCCCTCACAACAAAAGGATATTCAGGATATCCTTGGGACGTCCTGGGGATATCGATTTGTTTTCGGCGGTTTGGATATCCCTGGGATATCTTAGAGATGTCCATGGATATCCAGAGGATATCTTAGGGATATCCGAATCGCCAAAAGCAAATGGATATCCCCAGGACGTCCCAGGGATATCCTGAATATCCTTGTGTTGTGAGGGATAATTGTTAATTTTGTTAAAATATAATTTATCAATTCTATTTTATTTTATTTAAAATTTTATTTGTTTATTACTAAATTTTTATAACTATTTAATAGATTAGTGCTAAATTAATTTCGAATGAGAACCTCAAGTTTATTATTATACGCATACGCAATATACAAACTATCAAGGGTTGGAAATTTGCAAGGAGAAATTCAATTTTCTCAAAAATCAAGTTATAATAATTCTACTTGGAGAGGTCGATCAGTTCATGGTACTCGGGGAAAATCTCGTATCTGCATGCAAGATTGCCCGGTTTTATGCACACTTTTATGTTTTAAATGTCATTAAATTTAAAAGAATTGAAACTTCAATAAATTTAGATAAAATTTTACGGGATAAAACTTTCTTTTTTTTTTTCTTCTTTTTTTTTTTGCTAACGATAAAAAAACGAGTATATGTAAAAGTGGAATTTAAAATTCATGAAAGCAGGAGTAAAATAAGTAATAAATATATAGTAAACGACTAAAGTAAATGTTATATAAATAATGTAATGACACTGAAGTTGTAAAATTATTTTTAAAACACCTTTCATTGAATAGTTAATAAAAAAAAAAAAAGTCCACAATTTATAATAAACCTCTTTATATTGTATGTAAATACAAAAATCGTTAAAAAATAATGCAAAAAAAAAAATCATTACTTTTCTATAATAATAATTGAAGTATAAAATAATATAATAGGAAATAAATTTAACGGAAATAATTTCAAAATTAATAGTTCAAATGGTATAGTGCGAATATCATACAATATTTAATTTTACGATCCTGAACTTTTATTAAACGTTTTACGATTGTTCATGTCATTCATGTGCAATATATATGCTTGTGTATTATGCGCGCAGTCATTGTACAGTAGAAATTAATGAATGACTGTCACAACCTGTGATGAGTGGCTATCCTTGTGGTATATAAACTATGGACGAATGTTATATATATATATGAAATTTGAAGTCACGTGTTACGTATAACGAACATTTACAACATTCATATATGCCTTTTATATGCTTGATCATAACCACTTTTTACTTCTTTTAAGAAATTTATTTTTTCTCCCGTCTGACTAAACACAATTTTTACTACTCCCTAATAACACAAGATATCTTGATATATATTGATAATATCCCGCAGATATCCTAGGGATGTCCTATGGATATCAAAAGGATCTCTTAAGGATATCCAAAAAATCGTCGGTTTGGATATCCTTTGGATATCCCATGGATATCTGAGGATATCCACATGATATCTTCTGGATATCTCTATAGACTTTCGTCAGGATATTCCACAGATATTTTCAGGATATTCTCAGTATATCTTCTGGATGTCAAGGATGATATTCTCAGAATGCTGTTTTTAAAGTCATTATGAGACTACGAGTGAGAATATTCTGTGAATTAAATTTTATATAAATAAAATAAAATGCAATTTGTTTTTCGAGAAAATTGTTTAATTTGAAAAATTATTAACTAATTTTTTTTCTCATTCGTGATTCATTCCTTTATTCATATTATGCTTAATATTGTCAGAAAATAAATTGGCTTTAAACAATGTAAATTCTTCCCCGCAAATAACGAATAAATATTAATATTAATTATACATTAAGTGAGCATGAGTTTTTTTAAAAACTTTGAAAAATGCGTTTCAAATCTTCATTTAAAAAAAATTAGAAGCTCATAAGATTTTTGTTTTTATTATATTTATTATATTAGCTTAACAATTTTAACCTTTAAAAATATATGTTGAGATATTAAATATCCCGTGAATATCCTAAAAATATCCCACGAAAATCCTGAGGTTATCCCATGGTTATCCTGCGATATAATATCCAATAGATATTTTGTGGATGTCTTAGGGATATCCTGTGGATATTCTATGGATGTCCTGTTGATGTCCCACAGACCAGCGGTTTGGATATCCTCTGGATATCCCAAGATATTCTGGGGACCATTCTAGGATATCGACCATTGATATGGATATCCTTTTGTTATGAGGGCTTATTTTCCAAAATTTTTAATTCGTTTATTATTATTATTAAATTATACAATTTGTCTGACTATAACAAACTGTTACTACTTAATCAAATCGTTTTCCTTCGTCTGTCTATTAATAAATAATTTTTGAAAAGACAAAAATAAGTTAAAATTCACGACGATAACTATATTTGCGCTACGTCTGTATATAATTGATATTATCCAATTTTTCTCAACGTCCACTTAAATTTGAACTAAATTACTTAATAGAAACTATTTTCATCTTTTTTCTATATTCTTTTTTTAGAAACACGAGAATATATCAAAATTTCTATATATAAATCTGTTGATAATTGATACAATTTTTAAGAAATTCATTTCGAACGTTTGTCTATATATAATATAATTGATTTGATCCAATTTTTATTACATTATTTTTATTTCTGTATTTTATTATACTGTACTTATATTTTATAACATAAAAAAAATTTTATTAATTATTTATGAAAATAATAAACAAATGGAAATAGTAATAATCGAATTTAGTCAGACGTAACAAACATTGTTAGATTATAAAAAAAAAAAAAATTATTACTATACTTATAACAATGTTTAACGATATCATTCTTCCAAACCGATAATTTAACACAAAAAAAAATATTTCCCTCATCTCGACATAAATAAATAAATTTAAATAACAAAATTGAAGAATCATTTCATATCGTTATATACATGATGTTGAAAATATTCCATAACGTTGAAATCAATTCCGTCAGCTTTTGAAATGATCATCAAATAGGCAAAGCTATAAAGGTATAATATTTGAAAATAGCCTCGTTTTTCAGAGATGAAAATTGCAAATGGACAATTTTGGATACATATGATCCGCGAATGGAGATGCGGTTGTAAGTGCGGTCAAAAGTAAACCACTGTTTATGTTCCAATGGTACTTTATTGGACAGAACGTTTCGGCGTTGTGTTATCTGTTCACCATATTCGATTCCAAAGTGCTTGAGTGTAGAATCCGACATGAAATCATTACGACCCCCCCCTCTCTCTCTCTCTCTCTCTCTCTCTATTGGTGAGATATTACGATTTCGTGGTTTTGGCAGGGATGAGACGAATAAAAGGGATTTTCGAGAGGTCAATCTGACTAATGGGGTGTCACTCCCATTATGATTTGTACTACATCTACCGAAAACACGACATTAACTTGTCATCACCATATTCCACCATGTGTCGGCGATTACTTTTTCATATATACACATTATTCTGAAAATTTTACTTATTTTTAACAATAATTGTTATTAACAGTTACTTCAATTGACCTTGACCTTGAAATAACTTTAAATCACATTAAAATAACTAGAAATAAACTTCAATGATCTTGATTTGACCTTGAAATTAACTTCAATGACCTTGAAATAACCTTAAATTACTTACAATGACATTGAATAATCTTGAAATAATCATAAATGACCTTCAATGACATTGAATAACATTCATTTCACTTTAAATGATCTCCAAAGAGTTGTAATGTCCTTGAAATAACCTTAAATAACATTGAATGACCTTAAATAACATTTAATTGACCTTAAATGGCCTTGAATGACTTGCAATGTTATTAAAATAACCTTAAATGACCTTAAATTACATTGACTTCATCTTAAATGACCTTGAATGACCTTGAATAACATTAACTTCACCTTAAATGACCTTGAATGACCTTGAATAATATTGACTTTACCTTGAATGACCTTGAATCACCTTGTATAACATTGACTTCATCTTGAATGATCTTAAAATGACATTTAGTGTCTTTGAAATGACCTTTAGTGCCATTGGATAACCTTTAATAACATTAACTTGACCTTGAAGAACCTTAAAAGACTTTTAATGATCCTTAATGACATTGAATGACCTTGAATAACATTGACTTGAACTTGAAATGATCTTCACTGACATTTAATGACCTTCAATAACATCGAATGACCTTCAAAACTTTAGAATGACCTTAAAATAACTTTCAAATGACATTAAATGATCTTCAAAGATTTGTTATGTCCTTGAAGTAATCTTTAATAACTTTAAATGACCTTGAATAACATTGATTTGACCTTGAATGGCCTTTACAGACTTGTAATGTTCTTGAAATAACCTTCAATTACATTGAATGACCTTGAATAACATTAACCTGACCTTGAAGTGACCTTCAATGACATTAAATGACCTTGATTAACATTGACTTGACGTTCAATGACCTTAAAAAACTTGAAATGACCCTCAGTGACCTTGAATATCATTGACTTGAACTTAAAATTACCTTCAATGACATTAAATGACCTTGATTAACATTGACTTGACGTTCAATGACCTAATAAACTTGAAATGAGCCCTTAATGACCTTAAATAATATTGACATGAACTTGAAATGACCTTCAATGATATTGAATGATCTTGCATAACATTAAATGATCATCAAAGCTTTGAAATGATGTTAAAATAACCTTAAAATGACATTGAATGACCTTGAATAACATTGCCTTGACCCAGAATGATCTTTAAAGACTTGGAATGATCTAGAAACAACCTTGAAATAACCTTCAATGATCTTAAAA